AGGCCACCCTCCTAGGGCCTAGAGGTCCAACCTGTGCTCAATCTCTATGAAAGCTCATGAGGCAAGCCTGACACCCCTTCTTTCGGCAAGGTTCTCATCTATGAGCAACTGAACCCCTGACTACACCCCAATGGCTCACCCTGATTGCCTGATGTCCATACCAATTCTGCTGGCATTGCACTATGCTGCCGAAGTCTAGGTGACAGGCAACTCTGCACTCCTCCCCATCCAACATCCCCTCAATTCTGCCTGATCAACAAAGGGTTACTATTGAGATCCCATCCCCTCCCACCAATACACATGCAATACCTCCACTGACTTCCAAAGGCATGGCTTCATCCTGCCTGAGTCCAATGTTGACATGATTGGTCATCTGCAACTCTGATACCTTGTGGTTCAACCTCAATACTGGTTGACTGCAACACCCCCCCCTTACTACCATTTCCGATTCTCCCATACTGACTTGTGCAACATGCTGAGCATGGTTGATTGTCAATGTATTGGGATTATCAACCCTCTTCCCATACCACCCTCACTACTCCATGTGGCTGACATGGCCAATACCATGAGAGATCCTGAAGCAGGCATGTGAGGACCACTGAGAGGTCTGATGTCAGGCTTTCAGATGATTAGTGGTTGTTTGGCAGTCAGGTCACCCCAATAGGTTGCAGCTTCACCTGAAACCTTTGTGTTTGGCCTCTGCTCAATGGTGTGCCCTGACAGGGACTGCAACAACTGGCACTCCAAATATGACTACATTCATGGTTATCTCCACTCCTCTTTGGATCACACAGATCCTCCCCACGCACCCTCTACCATGGGGGCTGCAAGCATGTCTTTGTGACTGTGGCTGGCATCCTCCCATGAGATGCCTGATGATCACAACATTCCTATAGACGACCCCATTGTCAAGGAGCCTGCATCAGCTCCTACCCAACCCTCTGCTGTTGCCCTCAGCAAGTGTCCTGCTGTGGACGAGCCCACCTCTGCACCTCCATGCAAAGTACCATCTATATTGATGGTAACAGCATCTTCTGGTGCCCCACCCTGAGCAAGTCTTACAGCTCGGTTGCATCCAGCACTGCTGGACTGCCTCTCACTCTTGCCTGGACAACCACGGCAGCTACTTCTAGCTCCTCTGGAGCTAATGCTTGATCCATGTTGACTCAGATCAATGCAAACAGTCTCTCTGCTGTTGCTGCTATGCAATGGTGATTCCCTCCCACAGGAGTCTCAGAGATGGTAGCTGCACAATGTGCAGCTGCTTGTGTGGCTCAAATGGGTCATCCTGTCCCATGAGCCAACCCAGCAAATCCCTGGCAGGGAATTGTAATGGCCAAGCAATTGACCACAATCCGGAACATGGATCTTCCCTGTTGACAGGTCTTAATGGAGACTGCTGATGCCCACTGGGCTCACACTCCACAGACAGGTAGCCTCTGGTCCCAATTTGTGAAGATGGTGGAGCAGGAGGGCAAAGAGGTGAATCCTCACCTCAACAAGGGGCCTAGTATTAGGTGCTCTATGGATGGGAGATACTACATCCCTGACCTTAATGTGTGGACTTGGCTCCATGATAACTGTCTGCATGCGGACATTAAAGGCTGGCAAAAAGGCAATGCTGCTGCCTTGTATGAGATTGCAATGAATCTCTTTCGAACTAAGTTCGAATTCAACAAGTTTGTTGATGAGCATCAGCTTGGTTGCACCAGTGTTCCTCATTGGTCTATGACCACTTGCTTCCACAAAGCTGTCTCCCTCAATGTGGACAGTGTATGCATTTGGAGCCCCATTGGGGTTGCCAAAGAGTTCATTGCCAGTGGGCTCAATGAATCAAAAATCGATGTCCTGGTTGGTTACTTTGGTCATAGACAATGGAAGGTGGAACTTGGTTGTGCATATTGTGACAACATTCTCAACAAGAATGGTGTCCACACTCTCAGTCTTGTCAACCAATGCAGCCAATCCCTATGGACAGAAGTCTTCCAGTCTGCCAAGGTCCCCCCTCCTGTGGAGGGCCTTCCACCATTGGGTCTCGAACCCAAAGGCTTGAAATGGTCTGATGACCATACTGTTCCTGCTGCTGGTCCCTCTCATGTGGATGCAGCCATCAAGGATGAAACCCTCCTCAACTATGGTGACATCAACAGCTATGACCATGCCTGTTAGTATGTATACCCCTTCCTCTTTGACAGGGGGGGGGTGTAAGGGTCCGTATATGACCCCATACTCTCCTCTTTAGGTAGGATTGCCTTGCAGAGGTGATCATGATCATCCTTGGACTGACACGTAGTGGGTGGCTGTAGGCCACCCTTCTCTCTATCCTTTTACTACACATAATGTATTGCTACTAGATAGTAATACATTTGATCTGTGTATGTATTGAGGCCATAAGGGCATAGTAAGCCCTTTCATCTTAGCACTGATCTCAAATTGATAGCCCATGTGCCAAACAAACAATGTCATGTATCTGAGTCTTCTGGGTTCAGGGGCCATGGAGTGGGTATTGTATTGCTGATACTGATTACAATTGGGGGATAAAGCAGTTGTTGGGAGAGTTGTTGCTGGCAGTGAGACATTGACTCCAACTCCAACATAGGCAAAAATGCTTCCGCTTGCACCCCTGTTGATGGCTCACTCTACAACGACGACGCAGTCTCGTATATCGCTCATGTTCTCCCTATGGCCCACGTTCTCTCGATGGCCCAGGCTCTCCCTGTGGCTCATATGGACGACTGCCGAGACCATGCTGGCATCCCTGCTGAAGCAAGTCAAGTCTATTTTGTATTGGGATGACCGTCCTGTGATATTGGACGATGATGATGTCGTAAGTGCGAGAGCTCCAACGTCTACCCTGTTGTCTTCTAACAGAAGCGGCTGTATTTTCCTCAGAACATATGGCCCCCTAATATAAGACCCCGAAATATCAAACGCGCACTCAATCGCCGGATGCATGGTCGGGGTAGATGCGTAGACGTTCGATACTTAAGCCATGGTGCGTTCGGTATGCTCCGCTCTCCGTCTCCGGCTTCTCACGATCCCACATAGGGGCGTCACATGTTGTATGCATGAACGCTTCCAAGATCCTGCTGTATTTTTCTCATTGGTATGCAGGTTCTTCTTGCAAAAACGTCTTATAAAGAGGAGTACGTGGTGCGGGTTACAGGGTCGGTCTACGAACACTTCCAATGGGCACATCCCTTTTGGCAGACTTATAAAGAAACTTCAGAGGTATTATATTCAATGCGTGGGGATGTCCTCCTTGTCTTACATGATCGATCAGGTTGCATCCATGGTGGCCTTGCGAAGGCTAACCAAGATCCCCGTTCCGCGTGTTTACCTCTTCGACGAAGACAGGGACAATGCAGTGGGGGGTGTCTGGACGCTACAAGACTACGTATGGTTATGCCCTGGTCACTTGGCCAGGATCTAACGGCGATTAGATGGAGGGTGAACGCTTGTATGAATTCCTGCCTGAACTGTCCGGAGAAGCTTTGGAGCAAGTCCGTGCCCAGCTGGCAAATTGGATGCTGCAAGTTTTTCACCTCGAGTTCAGCCAGATTGGCAGCCTGCACTTCACTCGCTCTCTGAATGAGATTCGAGACGTATCCGACGACGATCTGGAAATTCGAGTGGGAAGACTAGTCACGCTCAGAGGCCTCCGAATGGAGAACGATTACCGCGTCGGCCCACCCAAGGATATGGGCTAATGGGACAGCGCCAAGGCGTGGTTGAAGAGCATCTTTTAAGGCGACCTGAACTACCAGTACTCGTACAAGTCGGAGTCAAATGACGAGCATATCCGCCAGGTACAACAGATAATTGACGAGCCCGAAGAATGCAACGGCCTGTGTACAAGCGGTCCTCTGAGTGTCAATGTACCTTATTGTACGGACATGTGGAACACGCATAACATCAAGGCAGTGTGCAAGGACGGCACCGTCAAGCTCGTTGCTCTGCTGGACATGGGGGGGATGCAAATTGTACCACGCTGGGTCCTGGGTCGACTGCCTCTGTTGGACGAACTCCCAGATGAGAGCTCCAGAATCTTATGGAAATTTCTTCTGGAGGATCCCCTATACAAGCAAGCGCATGAGCAAGGGTCAAGAGCACGGCACTTGCTGGTCCTGGCGCAGAATGCCTTGGTACCGTATCGGGCTGACGAAAAGATCGAGGAATTCCGCAATGGCATTTGGGAAGAGACAGGAACGTTGACAGGATAGCATGTTTTGAACTTGAGCTCGATTAGATTGGAAATGTAATGCTGAGGTGCCCGTGGATTCCGATGGACCCACAAAAGGCACTTCACCGACAATTTTATTTCTCGGTTGGCTTCATGTGTGGACTGCCAAGCTTTTGTCTGTCGCAGTACATCTTCCGCTAACGACACGGGCTCGCGGTCCCCTCCCGACCTACGGACCTCCGCCCTCAGCCCCAATCGCTCCGTGCCTGCCGAGCTTTGTCTTTCTGAACTCGTAAATTAGCCCCGGCACACGCCTCCGTGGCCCGACATTCATATCTCCCTACCTAAAGATGGAGGGCTTGAACGGCGTAGAGGCTGTTTTCGTTGCACAAGAAGAGGGAGTGTGGTCCAACGTATGGAGAGTTCTCCGAATGGTTGGATTCCCTAAATCGGGTGGTTATGAAGGGGCGGATGGCTCTGACTCACCATGCGTTCAAAAGGGAGCGGTGTGGGAGTAGTGGTCTACCTGAATCTGTTTTAGGCTTCTATTCTTTACCACTTCTCCCTCGTGGATCACACTTCTGTTGTATGCTATCGTCGTATGAACGGACAATACTATTGAATGTCAGGTATCCGTGCTCCGAAGCACATGCAAAATGCAGCAATGGGATGCGGGGTAACGGTAATATAATCATGTCCAGGGATATACCGCAGACTCTATCTGCGAGGCGCCGCCTCCATCCTAATGTCCTCAACAGCGAAAAAGATGTTCTTTTTAAGGCAGGGCAAGCCAGTCCTCAGCCGGCAAAGGAAGAGCTTAGCTCTCTATAAAAACGGAAAAGTAGTTGACAAGCCAATACGCCTCGTTGAAGTTGCTCGGGTCCTGGACAGCCTGCGAGCACGTCCCAGGACAGGACGTTGCGCCGTAGTTCGAGTTTGCCCAGTCTCCACAAAGCGTAGTCTCGATGATCGCCTGGTGGTCCTTGAGGTACGTGTAGGGCGAGCAGCCGTCCGCTACCCAGGCAGCGTCGGGCGTTCCCCAGGTCGTCGGGTCGGGGCTCTGCGACTGCTCGGCCAAGTCAGAGGGCTGGTCGTCGTGTGTCCAATGCCAGGCAGAGACTCCTCCACCATCCCAGTGCATAGCAAACACTCCCCCGCCAACAGCGTTCAGCCCCGCTCCGTAGGAAGTGTTGCTCCTGTCCAGGAAACCGCAGCCGGCGTTTGACCCGTCTGAGCTGGCACATGTCGTCCCGATCTGCTGGGCGGTGTAGTCTGACGTGGAGGTGTTCGGATTGCATCCAGGCCCAGTGTGCAGCGTCATCTGGTTAACGGTGTTCGTGTTCACGCCTTCGATGATGTCGATCTCCCCTCCGAGTGGCCAGGGCTGGGTCTGGGAGACGGTCCAGAATGCGGGCCAGGTAGCGCAGCCAAAAGGCATGTGCGCAACGTCCAGCACGAACAGGGCGCCGTCGTAGGTATTCTTCGTACCGAGGCGGACGCTGTTGCGCCCTTGGTTGTCCCCCAGAGAAGTGGTGTTGTCTACCCCGAGGAAGGCTTGGGAGGCGGTGGTAGAGACGAGCCCTTGAGCCCACGCGACGCTGTCGTTGACAAAGACGACATCGCCGTGGGTAGGGTCGGCATCGTCGAAGAAGTCGAAGCACTACAGCACAGTCAGCTTTAGGAAAAGCGGTTAGGGCAGGAATGTACGCACGTCGAAGAAGTTCGTCCCTGTGCAGTTGTCCTGCAGCGAGAAGGTCGAGTCCCTCCCCAGGCCGTGCCAGACGGGCGAGCGGACGGCCGGTTGCTCTGAGCGCAAACGCTTTGCCATATTGCTATGGCGCTTTGAGAGAGTAGCATGGGCGGACGAGGAGAGGGCGAGGGCGGAAACGAGGGCGGTGGTGAGCATGGTGGGTATTTCGAATGAATGAATGAGTGGGAAATGAGTGTTGTAGTGAATGTCAGTTTATGACCGATTGAACGGTGAGTACGAGACGGTCAACGACCGAAGTATGAGGAGATCGTCGTATGAGAAAGAGTAAGAGATTTGAGAGAGAAAAGTAAGAAAATGTATACGTTTGGAGTGTAGAAAAGAAGTTGGGCACGTGCCCCTCCTCTTAGTCCGTAGCAACCGGCGTGTGAGTATCAACCCCTCAATTAATATAATTGCTGGCACACTCACTACACACGTTTGGTTACCGCATGGCCCGGGATTGCACTATTGTTTACTGTTCTTGGCACCGAATTGTACGGACATAACACACCTGAGGCCGGGGAGGACCAAACGACGAAATCCAGTCTTTAAATGGATTACAATTTGGACCAACAAATACTGGAATGTTAAGTGATTGCCCGTTCAGGGATTGGCAGACGACATTGAACCGAATTATCCTATACAACGGCCTCTCCATGGAAGATATTTTTCTATACTGGCATGGTCAGTGAGTGCAGTCCGATTATCCGGGCTGTGTGGACTAGATACGGAAAGTACGGGCGCATGCCGCTGATATTCTGGCACGAACCGCGGAGTGCTCAATCTGTCTTCTTTAGGCCGTACCTTGATGATCTGTCGACCAAAACAGACGCTTAACTTTTGAATTCTGATCTCTCCATGATAGTGCAGGTTGTTGGTTTACAACATTCCCTCTAATACCAGGGCGGGATGTCGATGGTGCCGCCTTGGCCAACTTCTCTTATCCTCCTAATCGTCATCATTCAGATGTTAGATGTTCTATGCCAAATCTGCGGTGGAGGCAACACCATACTAGACCCCATGCAGCTGGCATTCGATTTCTTTCTCTCGAGGAGACCTAATCTGGGCTGATGTTCGCGGGGAGTTCACCCACTGCCTTTTCCAATTTTCTTCGTTTCTGCATCTGCAACTGCTTAACTGCGAGCATCAATCAATAGACACTTTCGAACTGCATCCAGTATAGACAATGCAATACCCTCTATTCAATTCTCCCTTAACCCCTTGGCATCCTTTGAAGCCTTTCCCCACGTGTCTGCACAACCCAATTCAAGGACAAAAACAGCAAGAACTCTCATCCAGCCCTCTGACCGGACAATAAGAAGCAGTCCACGCATTTGGACATCAAAAGGTAAAAGTCCACAATCACCCATGTCGTCCCACCTCCTGTCCGAATTGGGCAGCAAATCTCCAGGAATTTCCTCTCTCGCGCTCTCCGCCTGCTATTTCCTGCCAAGCGTATTATCCCAGTCCACACGGGAGAACACTTCACCCGGACCCTCAGGTCCGTCTATATAATACGAGGCCTCCCCGCACTGAACGGTCACCTGTCCTCTCAATAACAGATCTAATAATCGCAGTCAAGTACGACTGTTTGGATCTCTTACTATTCCATCTACGACGAACAAACCTATTGGAAATAAAAGAGAAATGTCTGCTGCTCAGAGGAAAGCGCCGTCAAAGGCTGTTCAGCTCGCTATCGACGCCGGCGCGCCCACTATTGACCCTAGCACTGTGCGTCTTTCTTTCTTACCACCACCATCTGCACATTCGAGGCTCAAGAATACGAATAGTTGCCAGACGTGACGGACATCTCTCCAGAGACGGTGACGGAGAGTGTGATTGCCATCAACTCGCAATGCAAGAATGAGTGAGTATTATTGTGGTCTTGCTTGAAAGGGTGTGGACGACTGACGGGGCTGAAGAAGGCAGAAATTCCTGATAAACAACCTAGTGCGACACTTGCACGACTGTACGTCCTCTCCTCATTCTCTTTGCCGCACGCTGACTATTATGCAGACGCTCGCGAGACCAAGTAAGTTCTCCCGTCTGCAATCATACGCAGCACCTGACCATTCTGCTCACGAAGCCTCACAACCGAGGAATGGATGTACGTCCCTCCCGACCAAACGCATGCTGGCCTCCACCTAACAACATTCATAAATAGGACAGCGATCCAGTTCCTGACTGCGACGGGGCAGAAGTGCTCTTCCATGTGAGCCCCCTTCTTCCGCGGCGTTCTATTAGGCGCTCCTCCCCGCGGGGAGGGATCAACGTACACCCGTACTGACTTGCACCAGTCGACAGGAGTTCATCCTCCTCAGTGACGTCCTGGGCGTCTCGGCGCTTGTGGATTCGATCAACCATGCGCGCCCGCCGAACGCGACGGAGAACACGGTGCTAGGCCCCTTCTTCACCGAGGACGCGAATGACAGTACGTGCTTCTATCCCACTGCTGCCGGCTCCGCACTCGGTGCTGACCCCGTATAGTCGATCAGCAAGGCTCCATCGCCTCCGAAGGCAAAGGTGACCCGCTGCTCGTCACCCTCCGTGTGCTGGACACGCAAGGTCGTCCCGTCCCCGGCGCGCGGGTCGAGACGTGGGAGACGGATGCAGAGGGGTTCTACGATACGCAGTATGAGGGGCGGACGGGGCCGGACTGCCGTGGGAGGCTGAAGACGCAGGAAGATGGTGTGTGCGAGTTCTGGGCCGTCGTCCCCGTTGCGTATCCTATTCCGAGCGATGTGCGTACCTTTGCTTCGAAGGAAAAGTCGATTGCTGACAGAGTTGCTGTTGCAGGGCCCGGTTGGAAGCCTCCTTCGCAGCTTGCACAGGCACGTCTTCCGCCCCGCCCACCTGCACATCATGGTCGACGCCGATAGGTTCGAGACGCTCACGACAGCGCTCTACCTCGAAGGGGACGAGTACATCAAGTCCGACGCCGTGTTCGGTGTGAAGAGGAGCTTGATATGCAAGATTGACCGCGTGGCTGACGAGGCTGAAGCCAAGAAGCATGCGAAGAGTACGCCGTTCAACCAGCTGAAATGGGACTTTGTCCTTGCTAGCAAGGAGGAGGCGGACTTGGTCCGCGCAGAGAAGATGGAGAAGATGAGGCTGAAATAGGCGAGAACTTGGATATTCTTGACTATGGAGGGGATGGAGAGGAACGAAATAACGGGTATTCACTGCTCAGACAATAGTGTAAATTAGCATTGTGTCAACGAATTTTGTGCTGGTGTATGGAGTGTTCCTCTGCCAGCAGATGGGTGCAATAAAAATGTGCAACAGTTACATGTCGAACGAACACAGTAAATTCACGATTCGTAACGTAACGCCCTATATATCTGAACATTATTACCATCAACCCACCCGAACAGTTCTCATCATTCGTTCCACCCTTCGAAGCCATCTCTACCTCAACCATCATGTCTACTCCAGCAGCATCTTCAACCCCCCAGCCGCTGGCACTCGAGCCGCCTTCCCAAGTCCAAACGCAAGAGTCGCGCGAGCCGACACTGTCTACCAATTCGACGCCCTCGGGCCAATGGTCGTGAACAGCGACTGGGTGCGTCTTACCTCCACCCTCCCCCTCTATCCCCAGCTATCCTTGTGCGTTACTGGATATATGGCTAAGCTGACTGAGGGGGGTAGACGTTGTCCAGGATCGGGAACTGGGGTGAGATGACCCCTTTGGAAAGGGAACGGACTGTGAGAGTGTTAGGAAAGAGGAATCTGTGTGTTTCCCCTTCCTTACCTTGGGCGGTAACGGATTGATATTGGTGCACGTAGACTGCGACTGGCTGAAGAGGGACGCAAGTTGGAAGGGGAGGGAAAGGAGGGGAAGTTGACAATCACCCAGGGCTTGAGCGAATAGACTTTTCCATTGGAAGAAGCGGGCGACCGTCCATCAATCTATTTATTACATGTTTGCGAAGGTGGTCTATGTCATATATCATTGATGAATTGCTGATGTTCCTCAACCCCGGGTCCGGGTAAAGCGGGGAAAGCTTCCTAGTCAATTCCCGTATCCGGGGAAGGCGAATCGTACATGTACTGCCGGCAGGTATAAATAAGATTAACGGCATGCCAATTACTTTACACATCTACAGTCCGTCACGGCGCGATCCTCTGGGCGCAGATTGAGCGTACTACAACACTTGGGGTGCGAGGTGCGGGGACTACAGAGCGACAACACAACAGGCAGGGCGAGGGCGAGGCGGGGCGGACGGGGCGAGGCGTCACAGATTAGTGGATTGGCATGGTCGAGAACCGAAACGATGCAATAAACCTTTCCGGAGGACGAAGGAGACATGAAAGAATACAGCTGACGGCGAGCGTCCGGGAGAGGGAGGGAAGACGAGAATGAGAATGAGAACGAGAACGGAGGGTGGGAACATTGTTGTTCACGACGACGACGACGATCAGGCGCTCTTCTTGCCCTACATGCAGGAGTCAGCATGAGATAAGTGACTTTGGGGCGGTTCCGAGGTGGGTGGTCTGGGTGACAGCACCCTATGCACCGGAGCCGTACACCAAGGAAGTGGAATTGGGTTGCTCACCTCGTACTCTGCCTTCTCCTTCGCAGCACGCTGCTTGTCTTCGTCCGATTTCCGTTGATACTCCTTGATGACAAGGGTCGGTGAGCCGGGGTTAGGGAAAAAGTGGGGTGATGCGCACCTTCTTCTCTTCATCAGGGAGCTCCTTCCACTTTGCACCCAATAGCCGCCCAACATCACCTAAGCACGCAGGTATGAGTACAGCAAAGGGGGAATGAACAACGACGACGAACCGAATGAAGCATCCGGGTTCTCTGCCTTGACCCGATCCCTCCATTCGTTGCTGAAGATGAGGTAGGCAGAAAGACCGCGCTTGGGAGCGTCCTTGTCCTTCTTCGATCCCCGCTTGCGCTATATCCCAAGTTGATAAGCCACCGGATGGCGGGTCAAATGGATGATTAGAGGACGTACATGGGGTGCAGCGTCGGCAGATTTGACCTTAGGCATCTGTAAATTGATATATGCATTGTCAGCTCACCGAGAAGGGCGGAGGAGGAGAGTGAATCGGGAGGAGGAGGGGGTACGCGCATCCGACGCGTCGCAACAAACAACGCGCGAAACACTGCCCGTACTAGGAGAAGTAGGCGGGACAGTGAAAGGGACAAGAAAATCAAGAGAAATAATGCAACAAAGTGTTATACAATTATAATAAAGTGAAATCAAGATATAAAATGGGTACTTACAGTGATGAATTGAAGTAAAGAATAGGATGTAAAAATGGAGGTTAGGTGGTGGGCGCACAACTGAAGGGGGGGAGACTGCAGGGCCCGCTAACCCGCCTAGCTGATATACGGTCGAATCCACTCAATCGACTCCACGCCTCATCTGCATCCGATACTCAGCACGTGACTCACAATCATTCATCATATACTCACTTTATCTCATTTTATTCATACTCAACTCTACTATTTCATATCATTCATTTTATATCCTCCTTTCATATCCTCTCACTGAATTATCATTACAATTATCCTCATTCACTCACTCCGACCAGCCATGTTCAATCACGTGACCCTTACCCTGCGCCCACACCCACGCGCACACCTGTCACCCAGCCTCTCCCCGGCCGATCCTCTTCCGACAGCGCGTCAACACGGATTAAAGTTACGCTCACACGGCACTCTCGGAATATCTCGTCTCCTCCTTCTACCTTGCTTGCTCTACACAAACTGGCTGACAGGCTAAAGGGAAAATATGGGCCACAACAACAGAATTTTATCCAGCTGGCCGAGGCTTATCCTCCCCTAGAGAAATAGTACGCATTGCGTATTATACCTTTGTGCCCCCGGCCCGGCACGCTATATCGGCCACAAGATCTAATCGCCCGTCCCAGCGTCTTCTTTCGACAAGGACAGCCTGCGCTAGACTTCCGGGATCCGAGCGTCCAGAGGTTGTCCTTCTATCTCCCCTAGACCTCATGTGCTCGCTTATCCTCTCCTTAGGCGACTGTCAGAAGCCATCCTCCATCGGGACTTTAACTTGAAGCTCGTGCTCCCCGACAACAGGCTCTGTCCAGCAGTAAGCATGATGTTCCGATCCTTAATAGCCCCGGCTTCACTATCGATACATAGGTACCGAACAGGTGAGCTCTCCCCTTCTAGCCCTGGGCACTCCCCGATCTTCCGCGCTAGATGGGACTATGTTGCTTGGATACAGGACATTCTTGCGAATTCGTATGGTGTCGACCTTGGCCGAGTGCGCGGGGTGGACATGTACGCCGAACTGTGGCTTCTGCTGTTCATGCTGAATTTTCTACAGAGGAGTAGGCGCGTCCGCGATTTACCCGTTACTGGCTTGTCGCATGCACGACGGGTGGTCCATGATCGGTTCCGGTGTGTGATCCACTTCCCGGTCTACTCATATTCACCCCAATAGACATTGACGACATCTCGCTACACTGGGCGAGGGAAAATGTCAAGCTCAACTCCCTGCAAGACAGGATCGAGATCCTACCCGTAAGAGCGGACAAGCCCATCCTGCAGCCCCTTCTGGCCTATCCCGAATCGCAGTATTCCCCCCGTCCGCTCTGCCCCACAAGCACTCACCGCCCACCCAGGTTCGACTTCCTGATGTGTAACCCGCCGTTCTATTCCAGTGCAGAGGAAGTCGCCGATCTAGCCGGGATGAAAGAGCTTGACCCGAGTGGCGTACGCCCGGCCTTTTCCCCGTTTGTGGGGGTGGGACTGATGCGTCCCCCGTGTTCTCTAGGTCTGCACAGGTTCGGACAACGAGATGATCACCCCTGGTGGGGAGGTCGGGTTTGTAGGCCGGATGGTGAGGGAAAGCACCCGGGTTGGCAGAAGATGCCGGTAGGTGCTTGCTCGTGGTTATATGCGCTGACTGATTGTTGCCAGGTGGTACACCTCTTTGCTCGGGAAACTATCCAGTGTGAAGGAGGTGATAGAGCTTATCCGCTCTCCAGAGGTACGCGCCAACTATTCTCTGGCACTGCTGACCCTTTCTTTTATAGGTCAATATCGACAACTACGCAATAGGCGAGATCACCCAAGGGAGAACTAGAAGATTGGCCATCGCTTGGTCCTTCGGAGATGCAAGACTGCCGGATGTACGCATACGGCCCATGCGCTGGGTTGGACAGTAACTCACCACTTGTAGGCAGTAGGACGGCCCACAGCAGCAGCCCTGAAGAGTTTTGTACCCCCTCCAAATAGCTTCACACACACGCTCCCGGGCATACCGTCACCATCGGCAAAGGGGATCATACGCGTTATCACCAGGAGCATACCCGACCTCGAACTGGCCCAGGAATCTGCGTCCTCGTTCCTCCTCACCGCTCGGCGGAACACGTGGTCTCGGGCCGCTCGACGCGAGCAAGCACGCAAGATGTCGACTGATGCCGAGGTGCCTGCTCTTGTCCTCCCTGTGGTCCTCCGGACTCGGATCGTCTTCCTGGCTAATGGTCCAGACGGCGACGGCGACTGCTCTGCTGCTGTGGCGCTGAGAGTGGATTGGCTGGCCGGCCGGGATCGGGCGTTGTATGAGTCGTTTTGCGGCCATCTGGCGAGGAAGGTGGACGAGCGGGTCAAGCGGGTCAAGCAGGGGATGGATGGGAATGAGGATGGGTAGATTTCGTGGTCATTCTCATTCTCATTGGTAACTGAGGGTACATTCTATTTTTTCTCTTTGACATACAACATTCCTATTTGCACAAACAGGTTTACAGCTTTGCTCCATCGATGAAGGAGACTCCCTGTGGAAATATGATGAGCACAAAGTTAGGAACGTGATACAAGAACGTACAGTCTTGATGTTCGTCTCGAGCTCGGAGAGGGCGCCGGCAAAAAGGCTCTTCTCGTACGCAGTGACCTTGCCGATCGGCAGGATCTTCTCGACACCCGATGGCTGCATACTAGTCAGCAGTGGTCTGATGAGGAGGGGTCAGACATACGCCGAGCTCAACATTCACGGAGAAGTAGGGAACATCGGTCCCGAGCTCTTGCTTGATCACTGCGCCGCCAGCGGCATCAGACTCGAGGTAGACGAAGGTAGGGGCAACGATGTTCTTCTCCCCGCTGACGGCACGGACGACCTTTTCGACAAAGGTCGCACCTGCGTAAGCCATAGAGAGCGTGGCAGAGCCAGCACCGTCCTTGGCCTTGACGACCTCGTCACCGCCGTAGCGCACACGGTGGGTGATCGCCTCGAGCGTCTCCTTATTCTCTAGGAAAGAGGCCGGGAGAGGGGGTTGAGCCTGGGAGAAGATGGGCAGGATCGTCACACCGCTGTGACCACCGATGACAGGAACGACGAGCTTGGAAGCGAGGGACGGTTCTTGAAGCGCCTCGGCAGCGAAGGTAGAGGCGCGGACAACGTCCAGCGTGGTGACACCGAAGATGCGCTTGGGGTCGAACACGCCGTGCTTCTTGAACACCTCGACGACGATGGGGACGGTGGAGTTGACGGGGTTGGAGATGACGAGGACAAAGGCCTTGGGCGCGGTGGTGGCAATGCCCGTGGCGAGATCGCGGACGATCCCGGCGTTGATCTGTATATTCAGTTAGTCTTAGTCAACTGAGACGAATAGATATCGAACCTTGAAGAGATCATCGCGGGTCATCTGAACGAGATCGATAGCATCAATATCAATGTCAGTCATGAGCAAATGTAAGACGTACGCCGGGCTTTCTGGGAACACCAGCAGGAATAACGACGATTTCAGCGCCGGTCAGTGCTTGCTTGAGCCCCTCGTTCGGGGGAAGGAAGCCCTCCACCTTGGCGGGGGTGTTGATGTGGGAGAGATCAACAGCGACACCGGGGGCATTAACGATATCGTAGAGAGAGAGCTGTTGACACATTATCAAATGGAGATAGACGCATATATTGCAAGCTCACACCGGTGACGACGGGGTTGGTCTTCAGCAGCAGAGAGAGTGGTTGCCCAATCCCACCTATGATCGAATCAGCTTACCTTCTGGGGATTCCCCGAGATGACAAGAGATGTACCAGCAGCACCGAGAACGACGACCTTGACCATATTTGCAGTGATAGAGTGGTGGTGGTAGAAGAGGAGGAGGAGGAGGAGAGGATGATGGTGGTCGTTTGAACGGTGAAGAGAGTGCGTTTACTTGAGGGGAATGAGCAGCGTGTATGCGCGGGCCCTTCACGTGTTCTATGTGGACCCCGACCGACAAAGGGTCTCATGGGGGTCCACCCTATTATGCCCGCGGTCTTCCTCTTACTCTCTGGGGCCCCGCTCTTTATCATAACATCATTGTTAGACTTACAAACGCATACTCTTCATCAAATAGGATTAATATTCCTCAATATTATAATACTATCTGCGGGATAATAGCCAACACTCTTCATACAATCCATCCCTCAATTTCTACCCTTATCTTGGCTCATGTCAACCAATTCCCGGTATTCTCCGGTGTCCATCCTTCCCCCACCTACTTCCCCGCTTTTCACATTGGATGAAGCATTAGCCCCCCTGGACAGAAAGGATTCAGCCGGCTCTCTCCGCAATCTCCCATCACCACCTGGGTCACCATTATGGGCCACGGGGGCTCACGCTATCACGTCGCCGAGGTGATGTGGCTGACTGTGAGACAATCAGGTGGTCAGAAGCGTTAGAAGAATAAGGTTGACAACGGTTTGCATGTGACGGCTCGTCGAACGCCATGCAGCGCCATCCTCTCGATATACAGTACAAGCAATGCACGGTTGTGGCAACTGGGACAACACGATAGCCCTCGCAAGAATGATATTATCGATTCATTGCTGCAAATCAAACAGCGGTTCTTTGTTTGTTTGCAATATTTGATACCATATCCAGGGTGCAACCGTCCCTCGGCCTTGTAATCGAACATTCACTGATACTTGTCCAAGAAATTCTAGGGACAGAACATGACAAAGGGCTGTCCAATGCACGAGGGAAGAAAGTCCACTGGACACGGAAGAGCCCAAATGAGCATGCACGCTTCATCATGATGTTCCAGCTCATAGGCCGAGAAATCCCAGTCTAGCACACCAACAGCATGCAGCGTTGATTGGTTCCCCCGTGTGTCGAGAGGATTCGTTTGTCCTCGGCGGTCAGTGTATGCCACTCCTCCAAATTGATGCCCTCAATGAATTCCATAGAGAGATAGTCGATCCAACAATACCATAACAATTTGGTAGCGGACATCGGTACGTTGTTCAGTGCGATGAAATTTAGGTCGTCCCTCTCCATCCTGGTCGCTTCTCCAAACTTCACCAATGTTGAGACATTGACCAAGAGATACCAGATCGTGGGTCTACAAACATGAGCAAGTAGCGTCCCCCTTAGGGACATCATTGAGCTCGACGTGTAGAACGACGCATCCGCAAAAAAAAAGGGGGGGTAGCGGTGCCGCGTGGCACCGCTGCAGCCACCCAGCCACCCAGGCTTCTATGGCTAGGGATGGCATCGGTCCTAGACCGGACTTTGAGGACCGCGGTCCTGCCGATCCAGTCCAGGACTGGACCGTCCGAGGACCAGACCAGGACCAACACTGGTGGAAAATCTGGTTCAGTCCGGAACTGCGAGGACCGGTCTGGTCCGGTCTCACGCAGCCACCATTGCACCCTGCAATTGGGTGCAGAGTTTGACAGTTTTTGCGTTGAGGGATGGTGACTGGTCATTTCATGGTGTTGGAAGAGGTCAGCATATCATCTGACTGACTGGCATGCTGTTTCAGGGGTATGATGAATCTCCCATGTGCTTCCTCCTGCTCAATGCCATGACCCCACACTGACTATTGAATAGAATTATGTCAGCATTTGATGCACTGGACTGGACTGGTGGTTTACGGTCCTGGGACTGTCCAGGACCAGACCATCACAGGACTGGACCAGGACCAACTATTGTTAGAAATCTGGGACCATCCAGGACTGGATCAGACCAGACTGGACTGTTGCCATCCCTATTTCTACCCCCCCTTCTGTGCTGCATGGCACTGCTTGCTGCTTCATTAGGCACTCCCAGAGCAGTAGGTGAAATAGTCACTCCCCATGCAGCCAGGGTGGCAAGGGTAGCCACCATCACCTGCCAAACCCATCCCTCCCCCCCTCCTTTATTCAGTTTATTTCCTTTGCAGTCCCCTGTATTTTGTAGAAAGATATCTATATTTGTACTAGCAGTAATAATACACATGATGTGCTAGTGGAACCCCCCCCCCCNCNCACACACACACACACACACACACACACAC